TAATAATCAAACGAATACTAAATAAATAATGAATACTTAACGACAAAAGTATCGCCAGCTATAAATTGAAAAGGGCAAGAGTTTTTCATCAGCCATTATGACTGCTACCTGCAAGCCCAGACGAAACAAGCCGTCGATCAATATTACTGGACGAACATCAAATAAAAGTGCCGTTCATTTTGACAAGGAATCTAAAAGTACACTTTGGTACAGAGCGCAAGTGACCGCTGAATTTCACTGTCGTTAGGTCTTACAAGACGCGTTTCGACTGATCTGATTGACAGAAAAAGGCCTCTAATTGTCGCAAAGTTTTAAATAGGCATTACAGGTATATTTGCTGGAAATACAAAGAACAGTAGTACGAAAGTCCAGATTCAGTCATATTAGGGAGATCATCGGTTGTGGATATCACGAAAGCCCATTTTGTAGCCTAAATTTTGTCACTCTGACCTAAACTGGGCAGCATCTTTATTGATCCTATCATGGTTTTATTAAGTAAACATTGAATTTCTTTTGTCACAGTAGAATAATTTCCCTACTTTAATTAATGGTGTCTCAGATGGTTATATGAATTCAGTCACTAGGTAAAAACTTTGCAAATCTGTCGGGATATCCCAACATGACATAATCATCATGCTACGAATCTCAAGTCACGAAGGTTTTGTTGAGTCCTTGCAAAATTTCCAGTAGGTAAAGTTTGGAAAGTGCGGGAGTTTTTCGCAAAAAGCATATCTCAGAAGCGCTGTCTTAGAACCGCTAGGAATATTTCAAAAGTGAATATTGTAAACACCTTTTAAATTCTTAATAATACTGAGAATCTTATTGTTTGGGGGAGAGTTCTTCAGAATCACCATTAAGATTGAAGCTCAGTTGTGGTCACATTTTCGACGCGCAACTTGCGCATAGTCCAAATTTAAGTTGGGAGATACGATGAATGCCTATTGAAGAAGGCAGTAACCCTCGAGAATAGCGAAACCAGCGGAAGGTCATTAATATTCGTCATTGACTTTATAAGTAGTATTGCAAAAGCAGGGTAGTTTAGTGCGTTTAGCTTGCGGTTCTAAAAACAGAAAATTCTATTTTTGCAGTCATTTACGTCTTAGTAGTCGCATCTTTTAATACTATGGCTCAATGGACGCAACGCAAAAAGAAGCTAGTAGTATTTTCAAGTTGCTTGCTCACTCAGTATTTGTTGTAGTTTACCGCTGGCAATTTACTTTGTCAAAAGGATTACTGGTTCGCGCCAAAGCTGTTAGTTGAGATTTGGTATTTATTGGAGTTTAATTTCACCAACAATGGCTTGATCTTTTACTCCCACCAAAATTGTTTTAGTGCTCGGTGCAAACTCCCTGACGGCTCACTATTGAATTTGTCCGTCAAAAATTATCGGTCAGAACTGGTTCCAGAATTTTCATGGTACTTATTCTGTGTGAGTGGAAAGATCTAATCTTAGTTGCGAATTAGGAAGGGTCATGCGGAAACTAATCTGAGTCTTATTGCATATCTTATCATAAATTCTTCCATTCACACATGCCGAACAATTTATTGTGAATTGTTACTAAATTGGAAAGATGTTCGTCCTAAGATGTCAATGTTGATAAAAACATGATTAATAGGACTTCGTTCCGTTTAATACAACTAATTATGTTTTGTGAAGTTTATCTACATATCACAACAACGCTTTTGCTATTTCGCGTTCAGCAGTTTTTCCTTCTGTCACTAATTGTCGAAAGTTTTAAATAGGCATTACAGGTATATTTGCTGGAAATACAAAGAACAGTAGTACGAAAGTCCAGATTCAGTCATATTAGGGAGATCATCGGTTGTGGATATCACGAAAGCCCATTTTGTAGCCTAAATTTTGTCACTCTGACCTAAACTGGGCAGCATCTTTATTGATCCTATCATGGTTTTATTAAGTAAACATTGAATTTCTTTTGTCACAGTAGAATAATTTCCCTACTTTAATTAATGGTGTCTCAGATGGTTATATGAATTCAGTCACTAGGTAAAAACTTTGCAAATCTGTCGGGATATCCCAACATGACATAATCATCATGCTACGAATCTCAAGTCACGAAGGTTTTGTTGAGTCCTTGCAAAATTTCCAGTAGGTAAAGTTTGGAAAGTGCGGGAGTTTTTCGCAAAAAGCATATCTCAGAAGCGCTGTCTTAGAACCGCTAGGAATATTTCAAAAGTGAATATTGTAAACACCTTTTAAATTCTTAATAATACTGAGAATCTTATTGTTTGGGGGAGAGTTCTTCAGAATCACCATTAAGATTGAAGCTCAGTTGTGGTCACATTTTCGACGCGCAACTTGCGCATAGTCCAAATTTAAGTTGGGAGATACGATGAATGCCTATTGAAGAAGGCAGTAACCCTCGAGAATAGCGAAACCAGCGGAAGGTCATTAATATTCGTCATTGACTTTATAAGTAGTATTGCAAAAGCAGGGTAGTTTAGTGCGTTTAGCTTGCGGTTCTAAAAACAGAAAATTCTATTTTTGCAGTCATTTACGTCTTAGTAGTCGCATCTTTTAATACTATGGCTCAATGGACGCAACGCAAAAAGAAGCTAGTAGTATTTTCAAGTTGCTTGCTCACTCAGTATTTGTTGTAGTTTACCGCTGGCAATTTACTTTGTCAAAAGGATTACTGGTTCGCGCCAAAGCTGTTAGTTGAGATTTGGTATTTATTGGAGTTTAATTTCACCAACAATGGCTTGATCTTTTACTCCCACCAAAATTGTTTTAGTGCTCGGTGCAAACTCCCTGACGGCTCACTATTGAATTTGTCCGTCAAAAATTATCGGTCAGAACTGGTTCCAGAATTTTCATGGTACTTATTCTGTGTGAGTGGAAAGATCTAATCTTAGTTGCGAATTAGGAAGGGTCATGCGGAAACTAATCTGAGTCTTATTGCATATCTTATCATAAATTCTTCCATTCACACATGCCGAACAATTTATTGTGAATTGTTACTAAATTGGAAAGATGTTCGTCCTAAGATGTCAATGTTGATAAAAACATGATTAATAGGACTTCGTTCCGTTTAATACAACTAATTATGTTTTGTGAAGTTTATCTACATATCACAACAACGCTTTTGCTATTTCGCGTTCAGCAGTTTTTCCTTCTGTCAAAAGTCTCGTGAAGAGGAACCACACATGAAAATTGACCATTATTTCTTGATCCTCGGAGACTTTTTGTAGGTATAGGATTCTCGGAAGACCACCAGTGGGGTCGGATGCATTGTAACATATATCATAACCCCCATCCGAAACAAGTAGTATGACAAAATATGTCCGATGTGCAATTAGGGCGAACCAACATTACCACGGATTTTTTGGCAATTGTTTTTTTACTTTCAGTCGAACCTGCAGCGAATCTGCTAAGCAGCAAATAATGAGCCGCAAACTAAATAGGCTTAAGACTGGACACTGATCGTTCATTCACTCAAACGGGAGTCAAAATTACCCCGCAACTCACTAGCCTAAAACGTGCGCTTCACGTACAGGAAATTTTATCCAGTGCAGTAAACCAACTGTATCACGCAATCTGGTAAGAACCAAGTCATTTACTCACATTAATTTCAACCCAAACCCCATTTGGAATGAAATTGCTCGCTGAGTGATTAAACGTCTTCCCTTATTGCTCTAATAAGGATGTTAACACAAATGTACCTAAGTGATCACTTAGTTGCTAAGTTCTAGAGGATGTTGGAGTGTGACTCTGTCGCAGCTATTCAACTAATTGAGAGAGCCATTATGATTTTATTCACTATGGGTACTGATGGCACAAAGTTGGGTTTCTCACCAAATCTATCTTCACTCCACACCAGTTACACGAAGACGAATTGGATTTTGCAAGTCATCAGGGTAGTTTTTTTTAAAGAAAATTGTGTAATTACTCTTTTTTCAACCATTGATACGAACACATGTCTGCGTGCAGACGTTTCATGATTGCCTCTAAAAGCCGTGATATCTGATGCATTTCCAGTTTTCTTACGTTGTCTTGGTTTTAGAAGTAAAGGCCTGTAGATGACTTGAACGATAAAAATGTCAGTGAAAATCCATCGCTCACTACGTGTTGTTGTACAGATGGATAACCATCTGATTTTTTTTTGGAAAAAAACTCGTTGAATATTTGGCTGCTGTACAGAAGCAGAGTAGAAATTGTAGGGTATTAACGGGCAGAGAAAAAATGTTTGCAGATGTATCAGGCATTTTCATTACACTAGCACAATGTGAAATTGACTTCATATTCAGGCTTGTTTAGACCAGGTCGCTTCCACGTTACTACTGGGTAGCAACTATGACACAGTGAGCATATAACTCATTAAATGAGAAGCCTCCAGAATATGCTTTTCCTTCGCTCTTTCTTCGAAGCGCGAATTTACTGAACGGAAGGGCAGTGGTTCGAACCCGACCTCTGCCTTGCGACTTTCCTTGTCTAGACTTGGGCATCCTGGCAGTATCCTAGCCTTCGTGCTTCCCTCGGGTGGCGTGACAGCCAGGCACTGGAAGGGTGTTACAGCTGAACGCTTTTGGTCTTTCTTCGCAATAAATGTACTTGCTTAGAATGCTTCAACTCTGGGTGTGATATTACCTGTCATTATTTCATTGTTCACTCAATGTAGAAGCTGCCTAAACTGATTGATGTCCGCTGTTTTGCTAGTCTATGCAAATGAGTCACTGTTGGAAATCACGAGTAATGAAAAAGGAGGAATATGTTGGACTTCTTCAGGAAGTCTAACAACTCCAGACAGATACAGCGACCTGAGTCAAAATCGCTGACTTGTTTTATTACATGGGCTATTGCAGCCTGTTCGGAAGCAGGGAAAATAATGTGACACATCAAAAAGTAATCGCCCTGGCAAAATACAGTGTTTTTTTAAAGATAAACGTTAAGCATAGACAAGAAATAGTGCTAAACACGTGTGCATCTGAATGGGCGTGTCCACCGTAAAGCAAACAGAAGGTTAGAAAATACAACTCACTTTTGCACCTGTCGATGAATGTGGCATTTCAAACATGGCCCAGACTTTTGGACGATATCGCTGCCATATCGTCAAGTCGTTACATGCGAACTCTTCCTCCAAACCGAAGCGTTTATACAGACTTTCCGGTAGGTGATCATCAGTGTCCATTTCGTACTTGTCGAGGATTTGAAGAGTAGCCTGAGTATCACGATGTGCCGTGTAAGTCATCCAACAACACGGCTCAACCTATGAGTTCCGCACAAACAGACGAAAACGTAAAAGAAGTAGGTAAGATAAGCATCAAGCCACCTATTTGAGTGCACAAAGTCAAGGTGCTTTTGAGGGAACAGTTAATTGACTGAAGTAGATATTTCATTTAGGCTGCATTCGCCATGCACAAATCTGACGAATTTTTTGAGGGGTTAAGACACTGCTGCTCTGGCAAGCATACATAATGAATCGCACCTTACAGATGTTCCTTCTCAAGAGATGAGCTAGGATGGTCAAGTCACGTCTAGGAAGACGCGAGCGTACAAAGTCAAAACGATTGTGTGGAATGACACTCCAAAACTACTCCATCTAGTCCTCTAGCCAAGCGTTCACAAGAAAATGACATGGTTTAAAGGGTGTCTTGAAGGGTAAAGCACTCCAACTTCGGAAGGACAAAAAACCAAAAGCACCAAGGATAGCCAGATTGAGCCCCATTTTAGTAATGTGTGAGAAAACAGACATAAGCTTATTCGTTCAGAGAACACCAGGTTTACATTTACCAATAAAATTATAAACTGACCAAAGCCTTTTTACCAAGTCCCTTCTATTTAAAGCCCATGGTTCTGTGAGCCCTGAGGATGAGCAAAATTTAGGAATGACGTTTACTACTGGTGAATCAATGGTGTCCAGTCGAGTTGCAATAACCTAAACATGGCCAACGGAGTGCAATTTGCGGCATATACTTTTCCATTTATAATGAGTGCAAGTTTGTAAATATGGTTTGAGTAATTCATCTATTTACTGAAAAGTTAACCTTATTGTAGTTTCCCAAAGGAATAACATATCGTTCAAATTTTTTAGGTCTCTGACTTTCAGTGCTTGGCTCGTTGTTCTTATGGTTTCAGAAATGACCCAAAAACGATCAATTGGATAACATTTGCACAAAATCGAGGACTGTTACTCATACCACATTTTAAAATGCGAGTAGACTGCCGAATCGCCCCATGAGACACGAACAGACGCAGCATTTGTTGTTTCAGTGTTAGATCTTTAACATTTTTTCTCTAGCTTTCAGTAAGTAGCCCTGTTTATGTTTTTTTTACATTTTCATTCCGCTAGAACCGCAGAATACTGGTGACCATCTCTTCTAGATAGTCAATCTATTGACACAAAAATTCTGTATGGTGCATTTATGAGCACTTGAAATATCCTTGTATACGGCACAGACACCACTGACCAAAGCATACTTCGACTTTGGAGTAATGTTTGCAGTGATTCATCGGATGACCTACCACTTGGTTTTGCAAAACGTAAATGTAGGGGAGTTTCATATTGCATAAGTTCATACAACCGCGTTTAGGCTTCCGGGAGAAAGATTACTAAATATGAATAACTTTCATTATGGGCCTGTGTCAGGCTGCAGTACAGGTTGTTTTGGTGTCAAACAAGTGTCACTGATAGCCTCATTGGATTTGTGAAAATCTCCTTATCTACCAAAGTGCTCCAAAAGAGTATGAGGTTCTATGATTTTGTCAAAATACATGGCAAAAATTGGTATTTCAGTGTCCTATTCGTAGACTGGACGTGTTTAAACAAATCTATCATATGACACCTGTCCTGCCTCTAATGTGAATTATGACTTGGATGAAATATATGGGGCGGAGGTTTAGGGAAGTAGCAATTTTGCGTTCAATATGGTGGAGCGCACGGAAGCGTTGCATGACCACGTAGGGGCTGCTGAACTTTTCATTTCTGAGGATTACAGCATACATTTGAATTATTGTAATTAAAACCACGGATTAGGTGTAAAACCGATTTATTTCAAGACCACAAAGGTTTTTGCATGCAAAGTGCATACATTCATGCAAGCGACTCCTTCATACACAAATTAGGCATTCTCTTTCATTATGTTTTATACCTCAAATTGTGCTTTACAGCAGGCTCAATAAGCTAGCTTCATCAGTTGAGGAATTTAATCTACTCGGTGTCCCTAAACAATGATGAGTGAAATTTCTCCCAGTTACTTACGAATGCAGATCCCAACGAAGGGTTTACTGTCAAAACTCAGAGGCCTGTATGCTTAGTATACTGGTCGATCTGAATGATCATGGTATGATCAACGTTGAACTGCAGGCAAGGTCATTCTCATCATATCAGTTATTGTTTAGTGTTACCGATCAACATGCATGTCCATCGTATGCGAAATACTACTATTAGAAGCAACGTGAAAATCACTGGCCCCCTGGGACAAAATTAATTTGCCTACCTTCTGTTGACATCGCAGTTCTCAAGTGGATTAATTATAGAAAAATCTAGCAAAGGTGTTTTATTTCAAAATAATTAGTGAGAACGTTGTTGATGCAGGTTATTGTTTGAAAAATGACAGTAAATAAAACGTAATATTCTATGTTTTAAGCGAAAATCACGTTGTTTTGATTACCCACTTGCAATCTTGCAAGCCGTAGGAGACACCTCACCAGATGTTTTTGCTAACAAGGGATGCAATAAGATCACTTGTTGGGTAAAGTCCCATGGCATTTACCCGAAACATTTTTTATAATATATGTATTAAATATAATAATATAATAATATGATATAATGATATATATTAGATTTTCCCGAGGCATTTGTTATTAGCTGTGACAGGACAGCCAGTGGATTTTTGTCTATGCTTTCTCCCTTAATTTTCTTTCTTAGCTGCCACTAACCAGTCACTAAATAATTCAACCCAGGTTACTGGTTTTTTGCAATTTTCTTTGAACCAAGCTTTGTACTGAAAAGTCGAGTAAGATTTCAATCACCATGGTAACACGTAGGCGCGAAATCTTCTTGTCAGCAAAACTTTTCGGTGCTGTCAGTCGAGCTGTTGCTAACTGACAGGATTCCTATACTTGGCTATGGAAAACCCTTTAGAGAAAAGCACTCTAAAATTAAGGAGATAAAAGCATAATGCAAGTTGGTAAGTCACCTTTAGTTGTAGATGCTGTGGAGAAAGTTCCTTTTTGTATATGTTGTAACCGAACGCGACAGTTATCGTAAAATCTTGGTTACAAGTGGAATATCACGAGAATAACCAGCAAAAGTATTCTCCCTGGAAATATCAGTGCACAGGCGAATACTTACCCACCGCACTATATTTTCTCCTTATTGTTAGTCCACATTGGAGTGGCAAAACTATAAACTTGAGTTTCACTCATATGGAAAGATTTGTCTGATTACACCTCTTCTGCCAGCACAGGTTCGCCCCAAAAACTAATCAATAAACTCACAACTT